CGTAGCAATTTTTTTTTTTTTTTAAATAATAAATAAAAAGAAAAACAAGTAGATAGAATAGAAAAAGAATAGAGAATGCTAGTGTTAGAGGGTCTTTTTAAAAAAAAAAACAAGTCAAAAAAATAAAGAATGCTAATGTTATTGGGTCATTTTATATAATAAATAAAAAGAAAAGAGAATAGAATAGAAAAAGAATAGAGAATGCAAGTGTCACAGGCTCTCTTTTTTTAAAGAAGACAAGTAGTAAGAATAGAAATAGAATAGAGAGTGCAAGCGTTAGATGGTCAAGTTTTTTTTCTTAGAATTAGAATAGATAATGCTAGAGTTAGAGGGTCAAATGAAGATGGAAGAGATGTGTTTTTACCAGTTTCTTGAAGACTCAGCTGCTTGGATTGAGTTGGGCAGGTCATTCCACCAGGAGGGAACATTTATGGTAAAAGTCTGTGAAAGTGATTTTGTGCCTCTTTGGGATGAAATACGCCGTTCACTTGCAGAACGCAAGCTTCTATAGGGCACATAATTCTGAAGTAGTGAATTTAGGTAAAGGGGTGCAGAGCCAGTGGTGGTTTTGTAGGCAAACATCAATGCCTTGAATTTTATGCAAGCAGCTGTTGGTAGCCAGTACAAGTTGATGAACAAAGGTGTGACATGCGTTCTTTTCGGCTTGTTAAAGACTAATCTTGCAGCCGCATTCTAGATTAGTAGTAGAGGTTTGATAGATTTGCTGCAGGATCGGGCAGTTTTAGCAGTGTGGTCTGAGAAATTCAGCTGATCATCAATCACAACTTTAAAGTTTCTGGCTGTCTTTGAAGGAGTTATGGTTGATGTGCCTAGCTGGATGGTGAAATTGTGATGAAGTGATGGGTTTGTTGAAACCACAAGCAGTTCTATCTTGGCTAGGTTTAGGTGAAGGTGTTGGTCATTCATCCAGCAAGAAATGTTATATATATATATATATATATATATACACACACACACACACACACAAAGAAAAACAAGTAGATAGAATAGAAAAAGAATAGAGAATGCTAGTGTTAGAGGGTCTTTTTAAAAAAAAAAAACAAGTCAAAAAAATAAAGAATGCTAATGTTATTGGGTCATTTTATATAATAAATAAAAAGAAAAGAGAATAGAATAGAAAAAGAATAGAGAATGCAAGTGTCACAGGCTCTCTTTTTTTAAAGAAGACAAGTAGTAAGAATAGAAATAGAATAGAGAGTGCAAGCGTTAGATGGTCAAGTTTTTTTTCTTAGAATTAGAATAGATAATGCTAGAGTTAGAGGGTCAAATGAAGATGGAAGAGATGTGTTTTTACCAGTTTCTTGAAGACTCAGCTGCTTGGATTGAGTTGGGCAGGTCATTCCACCAGGAGGGAACATTTATGGTAAAAGTCTGTGAAAACTCCAAGGTTTCTAGCTGTTTTTGAAGGAGTTATGGTTGATGAGCCTAACTGGATGGTGAAATTGTGATGAAGTGATGGGTTTGTTGAAACCACAAGCAGTTCTATCTTGGCTAGGTTTAGGTGAAGGTGTTGGTCATTCATCCAGCAAGAAATGTCTGTTAGACATGCTGAGATCAGGATCAGGATGGAATGAGAGGTAGAGTTGAGTGTCATCAGCATAGCAGTGATATGAAAAGCCATGTTTCTGAATGACAGAACCTAGTGATGCCATGTAGACAGAGAAGTGGTCCAAGAACTGAGCCCTGAGGCACCCCAGATGTTGCGACTTGGACACCTTACCCCTCCAAGATACCTTGAAGGTCCTATCTGAGAGGTAAGACTCGATTCACTGGAGTGCAGTTCCTGAGATGCCCTTTGCCATGAGGGTTGACAGGAGGATCTGGTGGTTAACCGTGTCAAAAGCAGTGGACCGATCCAGCAAGATAAGTATTGAAGATTTAGAAGCCGCTCTTGCCAGTCTTAAGGCTTCAATTGAAGGTCTCGATTGAATGTCCACTTCTGAAACCAGACTGGTTGCAGTCCAGGAGGATTTTCTGTGTGTGAAAGTCAGATACTTGGTTAAACACAACTCGTTCAAGTGTTTTTGCAATGACAGGAAGAAGGGATACCAGTCTATAGTTCTCTAAAAGAGCTGGGTTAAGAGTGGGTTTTTTAATTAGTGGGGTAATCCAAGCCTGTTTAAATATGTTCTATAGAAAAAAAAAATCCTTGCCCTTGTAGTCTTAAAGCTAATGTTATTATTTGCTCTTCCAGTATGAAACAACTTTCCTTTTCTGCTGATGTCACTTAGGTTGTGCAGGCTATTGGGTAAAGGTAAAGGGTTAGTTCACCCAAAAATGAAAATTCTGTCATTAATTATACACCCTCATGTGGTTCCAAAACTGGCATCTTCGGAACAAAAATTAAGATATATTTGATTAAATCAGAGAGCTGTTTGACCCTGCATAGACAGCAACGCAAGTGAAAAGTTTTATGGCCCAGAAAGGTAGTAACGACATAGATAAAATAGTCCATGTGATAGAATTTTCATTTTTGGGTGAACTAATGCTTTTAACTAATTACCAATTAGCCATTTGGGCATTGTTTTAGCAAATTTACATTCTCTCCATTCTAAAACATAACAGTAACTCTTTTTTTAAATCGTTGAATATCTGAAGTGTCACATGAAAGTAAATGGATTGCAACCAGCAATTCATGTTGGCATTAACACTAGCATTTCCTGCATTTGAGGTTGTACATATTTCTTATCAAAATGTTTTCAGTCTGCAAATGTTAAATTTTTTCCCCTCTGAGGTGTCTGCGTTATTACAGGAGAATTCTCATGCATTAATGTAGTACAGTGGTTCTCAAACCTGTTTTGGAGTACCCCCAGCCCTGCACTTTTTTTATGACTCCCTCATCTATCACACCTGATTCAACTCATCAGCTCATTAGTGGAGACTGCAAGACCTGAAGTGGGTGTGTCAGATATAGGGAGACATGCAAAATGTGCAGTGTCGGGGGTACTTCATGGAGAGGTTCGAAAACCACTGGTGTAGTGTGGCGTTTACAGATCACAGTTACATGCAAATCCCCAAGCCTGTTCATTTATACCTGAGGCGTTCTAATTATACTTTAAAAAACACATTTTATTGACAGTGCGCTGTACTTTTATATTATCCAAAATGCAGGCGTACTTGAATGACACATCATGGGAATAGTTGGGAACAGTAATTTCTGTTGTTGTTGTTGTAGCATGGATTTATTGTCAGAAATCAGGTCTCAGGCGCTCTTGTGTAATTTTAACTTGCCATTGAAAGCATTGCCTGTCATGTCCAGGAAACCCTCTTCCTTGTCATAGGAATTCATGGCGTCAAACTGCTTAAGTGTGTTGATTACACAAAAAGGGGGTTGTATAAGAACACCTGGTGTTTTGAATAAATCAGTTCTTAAGCCTGTTCAATATTCTGACAGTTTAGTGTCAATGGTGAAAAAGCGCAAAATGCAGTCATGTTTGTAATGTTTTTAGTGTGCTATTTTAGTAGTACTGAATTAAAGAGTCTCTCTGATGGCACGCTCACATATTTTAAGTCAAAGATAATACAAACAAGACATAATATGGCACACAAACACATAATTATTAATTATGTTTCTGGCAGGGTGTAGCATGGCTGGCATATTTGCACATTGATATTTCTTTCATTAAATGCTGTGTTTCAAAAGTAAGTGCATTTCAAACTGGCCTATATGCAGAAATCATAAAGATCACAACACATGATGCAACAAAACTGACTTTTCAGTAGGCTACTGTTTGATTTCCAGTTATTCATTGTAACCAACTGACTATTGTAAATTATCTGAAATAAACATCAAACATCATTCACATCCCATTTTTTTCTGTAATCGGACATATTTGTGAAACGGTATATTATTCAAGGTGGAAGATTGTAGGATAGGAAACTGATTGGATCAGTGATGAGTGCGGTTGTGAAAACACAGAGCCAGGTGCTGACACTCTCAGTACAAAGATGGCATTTACTGACTCACTCTGCTGACCTTGCCATGCTAATGATGCTATTATAACTGCTAGATGAGTGATAATGCTACAGCTCACCTCTGCTTGTTTACTGAAAAGTTTGTTTTTATGAGCAGCACTAATGGAGCCCCAGCTAGATGAAATGACACTGATCATATCATACAGAGTAGGAGAAATACACTTGATAAAGGTGTAGTCATAATGGGAACACGTGTACAGAAAAGTCCAAAGTTCAACTTGATACCTCTCTGAGTCTGAAGGCAACTTTGAACTGTTTGCCCAGTTGAGATGGAAACAAAACTAGAAGAAAAAAAAAACTATGTATAAATATCAGTAATGTAGCAATAATGTTTATTTTTTTCTCCTCAGGAGTGGTGTTAATGGAGATTTCAGAAGTGCATAAGAAGGTCCAACTGGAGCTGGAGGAGTCTGTAAGTATGCAATATGGTTTAAGATATTGACGCATCACTTTTTTTCTCATATTCCTCTCCAACTCCAGAAGAAGCTGTAGATAATAATAGGTATTCTGTATGTTCCTGGATAATTCTGTATAGTTTTAATACCCTTAGTTCTTCATCTAATGCGTTGCCTTCTCAAGCATCAGTAACATCTTGGAGCCTTTTGTGATTTTTGAACAGGGTAATTTCCTTAAATTCAGAATTATTATTATTATTTTATCTTTGTGACGAGAGGGGCGGGGCCGAGAGCCGTGGGAACGGAGCGAGGCCGGTGGAGGAATTGCTAATGCACGACACCTGCGATTTAAACATAGTTTAGATCAGGGTTTTTTTAACCTTTTGAGGCTACGGACCTCCTTCCTAAAATATCAAGGCAGCTACACTACCGTTCAAAAGTCTGGTGTCAGTAAGATTTTTAAAAAAAAAGAAATGAATACTTTTATCAATGGATGCAATTAATTGGTTAAAAGTGACAGTAAAGACACTTTTATGACATTGTTATAAAAAAATCTATTTCAAATAAATGTTTGTCTTTTTTTCAACATTGATAAGATATTTTTTGATTTTTACATAAAAAATGGTCATTTAGAAATAAAAGGCCACATTCTACCCTGATTTTAGCCCTCTTATTTAAAGCTCCATTTAAAGGGGCATGTCTTTTTGAAAACTTCATGTAAATGCCCACTGCTATGAGTGGGTAATATCTTTGAATATGAAATAAGTATTACATGTGGAACTTTTGAAAATGTTTACTGTTTTTACAATTACAGCTGTTGAGATTAACCTACAGTGAAAAGTGTTGATTATAGAGTTATATTTAGATCTGCTCCAGTCGCACGAATGGTTGCAGCAAAGAGAATTGTAGCCAATGACGCAATGTCTGTTGAGTGCACAAATGCAGTGATGTCATTGTAATTTTTCCACTCTCACGAATACTTTTATCATAACTAACAGTGCAAACATTATGTAAATAAGAGATATGCTGTGCTGTGTAGACAGCGTCACTGGCTTGATTTACTCACTCATAAACAGCAATAAATGATTTTGAGACAGAACTGCCTCAACTGTAACTGTACATGAATCATTACATATCAGAAATCACAGATTAAGTATTAGAATTAACAGTTACTTGCATGTTGGGGGCATTACTGTCAGGTCCATATTTACCAGTAAAGGTCTGTTTGCAAACTAAAGCCTTCGCCAAATTGTGACTGATTTACCAAAGAATCCACAGTGAAATGTTGATCTAATTCTGCAGTCTTTCATCACACTATTACGTCATATTGAGACAAAATCCGAAACAAGCCATTTTGGCAGCTTGGTTTCAATAAAAGCTGTTTTTGGACCAACGAGGAAGTTTTGAGTTCTGAAACTTACAGGATGTTTTTATAGTAATGACCTCTTACAAGTCAAAAGATCAGGGAAAATTTGATTTCTCAATTCATGACCCCTTTAAAATAGAATGCTGTTATTTTACATAGATTAAATTTGCATTTCACAATAGTACTATTTTTACTGTATTTCTGGTCACGTAAATTAAGCCTTGGAGAGCATAAGAGAAAACAAACTTTCAAAAACATTAAAAAAAGAAAAATCTTACTGACCCCAAACGTTTGAAAGGTAGTGTATAAATATGTTAAGTAGTGTCATGAGAGCAGTACTAAAAATACAAAATGCAATTTTTATGCAATAAACATCTTCAAGGAATATTTTAATCTATGAGCAGAACTGTAGCAGGCAATACTATTGGAGAACAATTTTAGGACATGAGATTTATGAGTATTTGTAACTTCAAACATTTTTGTAGTCACTTGATATTGAAGCTACAACATAAACGCTGACATTATAAATCGTGTAATAATATTTTGCCTTCGGGGTAGTGTGTGTGCTGAACTTATCTGAGGTATGTGACTGGATTGAGGGCTGACCCTCTGTTCTCTTGACTTTCACAGCATTTCTTCCTTCCCAAACCATTTTTTAACAGATGATCTTAGGTATTCAGACTCACAATGTTATGAATATTTAACCACCTAAGCTGATAAGATAACCCTTTTTGTTGGAGTTCTCTACATCACGTTATCGTTGTTGTAGAATTATTGAGTGACTTCATGCAATTTCACTGTTGATTGATTTGTATCGCTTTGTGTTGATTTATCTCCATTACCATTTTTGCTGCAGTTCAAGAGGTTCCACAGAGAGCTCATCACTGAACTGGAAAGGAAAACTGATATGGATATCAAGTACATGAATGTAAGTATTGCATGTTTTTCTCTTCATCAATCAAGCAACACGTCCTATTCCCTCACCTGTGCAAGCAGGGACATCTCATTTGTATGGTATTACAATCCCTCTAGGCCACTTTCAAAAGATACCAGTCAGAACACAAATTGAAGCAAGACTTCTTGGACAAATCACAGGCTGACCTGAAGAAACTGCGCAGGAAAAGTCAAGGGAAGCATTCGTCTAAGTATGAGAGCAAAGAAAATGAGGTGAGGGTTTAAAATCTGTCTATCTGGAAGTCTTTTCTGTCTGATTACTTAAGCAAATACGTAAAAGAACTGTTCAGTTTGTAGTACTACATTTTGGGAGAAAGTTAGCAATTAGCAGAAAAAATGCATTTTGAAGCCATTGTTTCCCTCTGTAATTTCATCTGGGTTTTTAGTTTAATTTTACTTGAACTGTCATACACATTTTCTCAACATGAATTACACAGTCATTCCTCAGTCATGAATTTTAATGGTGCTGTGTGCACTAAGTTGCTAACAAGTTGTTTAAAGTAGTGATGAAACGGAAGTAGTGAGATCTTTTCTTTTGTATTGTGACACATCTGAGTGTAATGGATTATCGAAAAAGAAAAAATAGGGATAGGGCTTATAGGACTTAAATAGGCAGGGATTTTCTTCTATGCATTGGCTGTTGATTGGATTTTGAGATGTGGGTGTTGCACTCAAAAGTGAAGGCAGATGAATCTCCACAGTGAAGTCTGTCGTGAAAGATCTTTAAATTAAAGATCCAGTTATGATATTTTAATAAAACATTATGCTGTGAGATAAACCATGAGACTTATTAATGAGATTAAAAAATTAAGTTAAAAAACTTTAATGAATACTACAACTATCTCAAGGATGTGTTTACATGCTTGACAAGTCAACCATTATAGTCCTTATATAGCAACATATTTAAAAAAGAAAAAAATAGTCACTTCAACATTCATGTTTGAGGTTTGACAGTGTGTAATTTATTTTGTAGGGCATAATGTGGAAAATTTTTGCAAGTAAAATTCATGACAGACATTATATTACTCAGAAATCCAAACCTGCTATTCTAAAAGCTAATAGAAGCCATTACAAAGGGTTGGCTCTACATGACAAATGAGAACAGCTCTAATCAATTTAGTTTCTGGCTCAATATCAGGAACATGATTTGACACTAGCACTAAATCTATTGTGGTAGATTTTAATAGTGAGTTTTAATAGCTCAACAGTCACCATTTTGTTCCTCCTTTCAAAGGCACATTGTTTCTTTGAAAAGTTATCAATGGAAACATTTTTATGTAATGCATTTGCTTCTAAGTTTATTTCAGTCTTGTTTTGAGACAGATGTCTGAAAGAAAATTGAACTGAGGCTTAGATGCTTAGTTTCACAAAGCATCACCCACAATTGTGTAAATTCTTTTCACTGAACCAAACATTCACAATAAAAGGCTTTTCAGTCATTGTGTGATTTGTGTTTGCTTTGCAAATCACAATGAGTCTGAAATGAACTTAAAATTGCCATTGTAAACACAGTATCAAACTTAAAAATAATCATTTTGGATTGAAGCCATAGCCATGTGGGCAAGTGCTCTGACATATGGTGTGGTTTCTTTATTCAGGCAAACTGAGTTTGAGCCCAGGATTGAGGTGCTTTCCCAGTCCAGTTGCCCTCTCTCTTTTTCCACAATTTTCTGTCTGTCCTTTTACTGTCCTATGTAAAATTAAGGCACAAAAGCGCAAAAACTTTTTGGGTGGAGGGCAAATGAAGTACATATATGAAAACTTGTTTCCCCTCATGTAATTATCTATATTTTGGGTTTATGAAATGGGCTGAAATATCATCCAAAAACATGTCAGGTCATGTCCCTGACAAAATCCACCAAATAAAAACTTCATATAGCCATGAAGTCATATCATATGTTCGTAATGCACTGCTGTCATAAAAGCCACTGAGAGAAAATACTTGTGTAGGTCTTTCTTGTCCAGGCATGATCTGCAAATTAAAAAAAAAAAAAAAAAATTCTGAAACTAACTCCAAGGAAACAAGCAATGTTCACGGTCACTATGACAACTTGCACAGAACTATAATAGCGAGGGGAATCCTGTGAAAAAGAACAGAGCTCTGTTTCTGGTGTAATTTTCACAGGTCTGCTGGGTAACAACTCTGTTCTATAAAAGCAATGAATCCTCAGTCTGGAACAGACTTACGCACGAGAAAATTACTGCATTAGCATAAGGTGATATGACTTTGTTGAATTAAATATGATGATATGTCTCATTTTGTTAAATGTGATGTTTTGTTTGTGTTTCTCAATAAGGTCTGTCCCAGAAAGGTGTATTTTAAGCAAGAAATCAAGAATAAATCTGTCCCTTTTTAGCTGAAACTATGAGAGTGTCATGTGATGCCATATCTTATGATCATTATCATCTTTAGTGTATGGAGACCATCTCATCCCGGCAGACAGACATGCAGAGTTTTATTGCAGAAGGATTTAAGGAAGCTCTGCTGGAAGAGAAAAGGAGGTTCTGCTTCCTAGTGGACAAACACTGTGCCTTCACCTATCAGCTAACAGCCTTCCACGACAAGGTAACCCACTGAAAATATTCAGCTTTCTTATTCAATAAATATTAAACTCACTGATGTTCCAATTAATGCAGTCAGACTTGGGATCTACAAGAAATCAGAAGTAGTGGTGCATGTACAATACTGTTGAACAGTATGGAGTTGATAAGATTTTTGAATGTATTTGAAAGAAGTCTCTTATGCTCACCATGGCTGCATTTATTTGGTCAGAAATACAGTAAAAATAGTAATATTGGGAAATATTACAATTGAAAATAACTGTTTTAATATATAAAACATTTAAAATGTTTAAATATTTTAAAGATATTTTGAAAAATGTAAAATATAATTTATTCCAGTGATGGCAGTGCTGAATTTTCAGCAGCCATTACCCCAGTTTTATGATCCTTCAGAATTTATTCTAATATGTTGAGTTGGTGCTCTAAAAATATTGCTGATTGTTATCAATGATGAAAACAGTTGTGCTGTTTTAATATTTTTGTGGAAACCATGATATATTATTTAAAAAATAGGAAGTTCAAAAGAACATTTATTTGACAGAAATCTTTTGTAACATTACTTTTACTGTAACTGTAATTTTTTTAATTAATTTAATGCATCCTTACTGAATAAAAGTATTAATAAAAATTAAAAAAAATTATAATAATAATACTGACCTTTTGAATGGTAGTGTACATTGTTTTGCCTTTCTTCCTTTGAACTGTTTTTGCACTTTCCCCCACAGGCCAAGGAAATGCTGACCGTCAAACTGCCCAGCTGGCAAGATAAGTGTACCGATGCCACCAGGGTGCCCGACACAGTGATATCCATGATTGAGGGTCTGCGGACTCCAATGTCAGTCATACCAGAGTCCTCACCTACGTTGGAGCACAGTGACAGGGTTAGTCTTACACCGAAGAGAATGTATCACCATTAACATATGAGTAAGTGTAAATGCACATTTTTTGTTTGAGAGCCACGTGAAATTCACTTGTTTAACCAGAACATCAAATGATTTAGTTTTGTTCACTTTGTGTTGAAAAAAGGCACACTGACTTTAAGGTCTCTGTGTTGTTGCATTTTTTTTCTATTCAGACCAATTCCGGTTCTATTGTTCCACCACCGGCCCCATCACTCAAAGCCCACACAAGCCCACTGGCCAGCATGTTCTCCCAGGACGTTCCCAAAAGCCCCATCTCATCAGAGCAGTACTCAGGCAAGCTGATGGCTCCTTCACACTTTGATCTAATCAGACTTCATTTCTTCTGCTCTCAACAATCAAGCGTGCTACTCTGGAACAATTTGTCCCAGGAACTTTTTTCCCCCCAGACCTGCTGCTGTCTGCATTTCCATCGCGGTCTAAAGTACCGAGAAGATTAGGCAAATAGTCTGGTGACGTAGGTCTGCACGCGTTTCTCAATACCAAGTATGCAAATTTCGGGCTTGCATCCTCGGTAGTTCGGACTTCGCGAGTTTGACTCGGGAGTGTGAACTCCCGCGGATGGGACGACGCAAGTCCGGTAATTCTGCAAACAGCAACGTACTTGATAACGTCAGTCAGCTCGCCTTGGCTACTGCAATTTTCCTCACTGTATTTACAATAAGAAGAAATATGATATCAAACACCACTGCTTCTTTTCGTTTTCATTTAAACCTTAATAGCCGCAGAAATGTAGTTCAGGGACGTAGCCTACATTACAATAAAACAAAATATTATATTGCCTCTTTTCATTTTCATTTGAACATATTAATAGATTAACAGAAAAAACACCAAAGATAACCTGTTAGATTTACCCAAAACGAATTATATCTTATGTTTAACCATTATGGAGACATCAGAGCCAGCGGCAAATGTCAGAAGGACTAGCCGAGTTGAGGCTGCTCTTGTCGGGAAACATGAGCACTGAGTGCCAGGTGATCGCGTGGAGCTCACGTCTCCGAAATCGGCGAAGCACATGTTCAAATAGGCAACGTCTTTATAAATAAACCGCAGATTTGAGTTTTGAGTTTGACTACATTCTCGCCTGAAATACTTTTAAAACTACATTTCATGACACAATAACAGTAATATTTTTTAAAAATTATGCGAATATATGGTGGTTGAAATCACAATGCTGCGTGAACTCAACCAATCAGCATGTTCAGCGCCCAAGTCCCGCCCCCGAAAGTTCCAGACCTTTGAAAAAGTACTACCTCGTGAGCAGGGACTTTCTGAGGGGCAAATTTTTACCTGGAACTTTATTTAGATCCTGGTTCCTGCGGTGGAAACATACCGAGTACCAGCCCAAAGTCCCTAGTTCCTGGGGAAAGTTCCTGCAGTGGAAACGGGGCTTTTGTGTTGATGAGGCACTCCTTGAAATGTTGCTGTGATTACTACTATAGCTGATTACTGCCACGAAATATCTTTCATTAATGTCACATAAATTGCACTTGCTTTGAAATCTATAGATCAAGACAGCCTAGACGGAAACGGCTTGTCTAGGTCTGCGTCTGTGTCTAGTGGCATGGATGTGGTGAAGAAGACCAGGGTGCAAACAATCTTCCCCCATACAGCAGGGAATAATGAGACCCTGCTGAGCTTTGATGATGGAGACATCATAACACTGCTTATCCAAGAGGAGCGGGATGGATGGCTGTACGGAGAACTAGAACATACTGGACAGTAAGTGAACCATCATATAGAACTGCTCGCTTTCATCCTTAAAGGGATAGTTCACCCAAAAATGAAAGTTATTGCTTCATTTACTCACCCTCATGATGTTCCAAACCTGCATGACTTACTTTGTTCTGTGGAACATTAAAATATAAAAATTAATTAAATAAAATTTTTTTTAAAAAGCTGCAGTCCGTAACTTTTATTGGTTAAAAATGATCCGAAATCAATATTTGAGCAAGTACATAACCAGCCAGTGTTCAAAACTATTGCCTTACTTTAGCCCGATTCACAACGGTCATCTTATAATAATGTTTTCTAATTTGAGTGGTACGGGTAGGTTTTCTCGTGAAATTCGAGCATGCAGCTGCTTCATTACGTCACTTCAGTAAACATAAAGAAGTAGTCCCGGCTACTATAGGCTATCGCATTTGAGGATCCTGCAGGTGGCCGGTCGTTTATAGCCTTTTCTCACAGCAGCTGGAATAATTAAATGTATCATTTTGATGGCGGATTGTAATCCAGAAAGGATTATGTGTTTATGAAACACAATTGAATGAAATGAAATTAAAGTTTTAAATGTGCTTCTGATTACAGATAGCCTGGGATTACACAAGATTTGTAATTTTAAAGACAACCAGTTCTAAGGGAGCATAATTTGCTTTTTGGGATAAAAGAATTTCTTAATATGAAATTCGAGTGGTATGACGAGATTAGACTGTACATATTCCGCACACAGCTGCAATTCCAGGTTTTCAAACAGAGATGGCAACAAAGAGGCAAAACTTATGTACTGCAGCTTTAAGAATGTCTCAGTATTAGGGCTGGACAAGTTAACGCGTTATCGTGTTAACGCATTAATTGATTAACGCCGACAATTATTTTATTATTATGAAAGCCGTTGCTCACTGGCTCTGAATACACATACAGACAAACCATGGGTCACAGGAGGGGTAGGAAGTTGATCAGTACTGTCTTGGGATGGATGTCATCATGCGTCTCAACCAATGAGAGCATTTGGGGTGGGCCTAAGACTGCAGCAGCGCTCACATGAAGCGCTCACGACTTCACAAGTGGGAACTAGGAAGTTTCCTATAGCACGTGAAGGCAGCAGAGAAATGCTCTCACTCAGCACAGTGGAGTGCATCATTTTGTTAACTTTGTGGTTTATTATTTTGAGTCATTTGGGACACGGTAACACACACGGCCCTCTCACAACATATTGCTTTACAGATCTATCACTTTTGCCGCTCAGAAATGTTCATGCAATCATGCTGCACGTATCAGAAGTTCCGCGCTCTGCTCACACTACATGTGTACCGCGCCCGAGCCCAAGTGAACCGCGCTCTGGCCCTCCTCTTCCAACCAAGCCAGAGCCGGCTAAATGAACTGCGGCACGGAGCGATCACACTACTCAAACGAACGAGGCTTTGGGGATCAGACGCGCTCGGGCACGGTTCAAAACGCCTAGTGTGATACACCCTTATTCTCCTGCATCCCGCACACACGAGTCTCTACCCGCCCGCACGCCGCACTCTGCTGCGTTAGGTCCCGCGATAGTGCAGGTCTCTAGTCGGAAGGTGCCTGTTATAATGTTATGATCGAGGCTCTGGACTCGGAGCATAACTTATTTTTCTACAACAAACTATAAAATATTTTCTATAAAAACGTTAATGCCCTGGCAGTGTCAAATAGCTTTGGTTTTATATGTAATTAAATCAGGGTCCAGTGTTTTTTGGACCCCATTGACTTATATGGACAAAAACAGTTTCATCTTTTGTGTTCTGGAGAAGAAAGTAAGTCTTAGAGGCTTGGAACAACATGAGGGACATTGAGGACACTGCAGTGTCATACATTATCTTGTCCATGCTGCCCTTTGACTTGAATGTTAGCAACATCAGCTTTCTTGAGCTGGAAAGACTGGTTCCATGCTTCTTTTCATTAGATTTACTTTCCTAATTTGCAAACTTTGGTGAGACATGTTCAACATGTCAGGCATGTTAGAGGTGCTTCTTTACGTCACTGAGAGGAAACAAACATACTGCTGCGTAAGCCTTTGCATGGCAGTAGGCTTATTTTTTGGACCTAAATTCATTGTAAATTGCACAAAACAATACAGTGGTGCCTTCATTTAGACATGATGAGGGGGTGTCTGTCCTCCTCTTATCACTGTCTTTTATTTCCAACTGAAAGGTATATTTACATTGTTCTCTTGACCTGGAAATGTGTTTCCAGTGTGGTCCATTGGGGTGAGTTGGCATTTGAGCTGGCACTGTTAGAGCGAGTTTGAGTAAGGAATTATTTGTAAATGAAAATGTAGATAAATGCTTTCAATGAAAGATCTTTCACGACAGACTTCTCTCAAAATCCAATCAATAGCCAATGCATAGAACCAAATCGCTGCCTATCCCTGTCATATAAACAAAACGTTGACATGGGTTCAGCTCACACAAGAGTTGGTTAAGCTGATTTTCAGTACTAGCATGAAACTTCATATGAATTGAATTTTATTTCTGCTTTTAGTAGTTTTAAAATTTTTTTGAAATCAAAATTTACCATATTTAGTTTGTTAGAACACATTACTAGTCTTGTGGTGAAGAACTAATTGGTGCAAGTTCATCCACAGAAAAAAATAAATTGTAATATTTAGTCAAAATCTGAAAAATTGCTTACCCTCTGGAATGGCATTTCTCCTCTGATGTCAGTTTGACGGCTTGGGCGGAACATCCCTAACCATTCTCCTCCAACCATCAGTCTGCTGCGAACTAGAAATGGCAAAGATGTACACTAAAATTCAACCCCGTTCTCTATTTTATTATAGTTTTTTTTCTAATTCAATACTCAGAAATACGTATGAAGTACATACTAAAGTAAAGCGGGTCGCAACTTTTGGTTCACACAGACATTAGTAACAAACATGATCAAAACTGTTATGCTGTGCAGCTCTGCTTTATCATAAAAACTCAGCACATAATAAATGTCATTTATGTGCAACTAAATTAGTTAAAATGTTCATCATTACTGAAGAGCTGAATTTCAGTTAATTTGATTAGTTAAACTATCACATTGTTTTTCTTTACATTTTTGATAATGACAGTTTTTGTGATTACATTTGGTGACACTAGTGGGATATAAATCAAAAACATAATTTTAAAGCTGACAGGTGCATGTATTCTTTATATTACTATTTATATTTAATCATTCATCCATAGCAACATACAAACGGGAGGTCAAATGATCGTACTGCTGTGAAGGCATCTGTGTCTGTGATTTGTGTGGTCTTATTTGTTTTGCATATTTTAATGAGCAGCTTTGCCATTTCAGAGGTCCAAAGTCCAAAGATTTTCCCTCAATACCCATTATGCTGTCACCACTATTTTGAGAAGTGAAAATGTCTTAATGCACTGACGCACTCTTGAAGGCTCAGTTCAAAGTTATGCACAGCTGGCGGTGTGACAGTTCCTAAGCAACCAAAACCAAATGTACTCTTCATACAACGTGGTGTTTCACTTTACATTTGTGCCAATACAGTGGTTTTTGAATAGTCAAACCGTGGTTGAATCAAAAAGCCTTTTAATGCATATGGAAATTGAGCTGGTACCCATTTTATTAGAAAATCATGATACACATTATGGATATTTTTTGTTTGTAATTACAGACGGGGCTGGTTTCCCTCATCTTATTGCCGGGCTTACAATGACCCAGTGATCGCAAACAGGTGAGTCTGTATTTGAGTGAAAATGATGGGATTTCTGCTGAAACTAACAATGTTTATCCATCCATTAACAAAACCGTATGACATCAATTTATGTATTTTGTTCAGCAGAGTTGAGAGCCCATTGCGCAGCCAGAGTGTGACTGATCCAGAGCAGCCAGAGGAAGACGAGGAGGAACCCGTGCTGCTGCCCCCGCCTGACTACAGTGACTCATCCAGGGACAGACCCTTCAAGCCCTCCACCCCCTCTTCACAGAACACGGTAAACACACTGCGCTGGCGAATAGGAAAGCTAAGTGCAAAGTTAGCTGGAAAAGCAGCCAATTTCTGTAAAGAGAGATGGAGAGGAGTAACTGGGCCTCTTATCCTTTTGTGGTTGAAATGAGGTAGGCAAAGTCATTGGTGTATTCTGGGAGGGAGTCCCCTGATCGGATCAGGTTTCCTTCTAGGGTGAAAATGAAACCTCTGTTACTGCACAGAGGCTGCACGTAGAAAATACACACAGAACAGTTTGAAGATGAGTGCAACACTGTGGCTTTATAAAATATTTAACTTGGCTGGCAACAAAAAAACAAACAAAGACATTTATAAGATTACAAAAGATGTCTTCAAACAAATATTGTTCTTTTTAAAATTCTATTTGTCAAAAAATAAATCGGTTTCCACAAAAATATTAAGCAGCACAGCTGTTTTCAACATTGATAAGAAATGTTGCTTGAGCCCCAATTTGGCATATTAAAAAAAAAATAATAAAAATAAATGCAGCCTTGGTGAGATTCAGAGACTTTCAAAAAATTATATATATATAAAAAATTTGTAAAATAAATATTTAAGACTGCACAATTTCTAAGTCACTAATAATAAAAAATAAGTTTGTGACACTCGTCGTGTGAACTCTTTGTATATAGTGTAGATGTTCTACCATTGAAGCTCAAGATGCTCTTTGGATGATCTCAAATCATGCTGGAGAACATGATCATCAGGTTTTACACAAACTTTGTTTTTGTTTTTTTTGTTTATGCAGCATGAGAGCTGCTGTTGTTAAAGTAAAAGGGCTTCAAACATATACTAAGACATTCTGAAATTCATGTTATAGAAAATAATGCAAATATATGTTATATAATATAAAATTATCTAAAGTATTTTCACTAGTAGTCTCTTTTGGACCTTTTGGACTTTAAATTGTACAAATTAGATCTACATAAGTGGCAATAACCACAAAAGGATACATTATAAGACCTGCAATAATGTAACCTTTGTTCTTTGCCAGGGGGCCTAGGGAGGGGTAGATGAATGCTCTGCATTACTGTCATTGTGAAAAATAAAAAGACATCTGAAAAATGCTCCCTACCTGGTTTTCTCATTGTGAGGGAGAGTGGAGACAAATAGAGCTGTACTATATCAGCCGATGTCAGACTGAATCTGAGTATCTGGTAGGGGTGGGCGCTATACCGGTATGAATGTGACAACTGGTATTATGTTGTTCCATGATATGGAATTTGCTATACCGTGGATACCATTATATATTCATGAATTCAAATTTAGCATTTATATTGTTTTGTTCAATTTGGTACACTTTGCAAATTTGAACACAAATAACGATTGAGAGTCGAGGCTGAACGTTTTTGTCCTCTGTGTGCAACGCCGTACTACTAATTGCAGATTCAATTATTAGATCTGTCAGCATTAATATTTTTATACTTAGATTTTTTTGGGGGATCAAACTGTAACACCATGTGTCCCAACCAGACGTGATGCGACGCGATAAAAAGTATCGTTTCCATGTAGTTTTTGTCCTAACCACCCGCGACAGCAACACGTGACAATAAGCGATACTGAATTCTATTTTAGAAATGGTTTTTATTTTCTGCGACATCGCCGGTGTAGACACGATGTAAGTTAATGTAGCTTTCTGATGCTGCGTTTGAATTTTCATGCCACATTATTTGAAATTAGCGCAGGCCAAACATTTTTCTCTCCTATTGCAGCCTATTGAGGAACTCTGACATAGAGCATCGTAACAGACCAAATTAATAGAGCGCAAATCGCCTGCTCCAGTGGTTCCCAAACCGGGGGGCAAGGGATAGTGTACAGTCAGCAGATTATTTTGCAAAGGAAACCTCTGCAGGGTGATAAAGACTACACTGAGTAATTTTCCCGCTTACCGAGGCCACTTGCCTGATAAGTAAATAATTGAGCGCAAAATATTTGCGACATCGCGGGAGAAACAACATGAATAAACTTCTTTTTCGTATCTCAGGTAATGATTATGTGCTTTATTCAGTGTTAAAAGTGTCTAATGTGAGTTTGAATATTATTTTGCGTGATCTTTATAGCCATAGTGAAAGTAACAATAGATATTTTACCTCAGATCTTGAAAGTAAATTAGGCTAAAGCAAACTTACATTTGAGTCAGCAGTTTTCTGTGGGGGATTTGTTGCGCCGCATCCAGTGTAGACACCATCACTGATTATAATAAGTTGATTTCTATTGTATTTTGTTGCATCGCACCGCGCCGCTCGCGTCCGGTGTAGACACGATGTAAGTTAATGTCGCTTTCTGATGCTGCGTTTGAATTTTCATGCCACATTATTTGAAATTAGCGCAGGCCAAACTTTTTTTCTCTCACGGGCCAGATGTGGCCCCGCGGGCCGCCCATTGAGGAACCCTGGTGTAAGGCTTTCAGCCTTCCATTGTCAATTGCAATGCTTCCTGTTGCAAGTCCTCAATCTGGCAACCTATGTGAGCGTCGAGTCTGAGGAGGAGAGGGCGGGAGAAACTATGCTAATATTTAGCATTTGGACTGCAGTACCCATTTCAACCACTAGCTGTCAATATCACATACTGCACCTTTAAACGTTCAAGATCTTTAAAGGGTTAGTTCACCCAAAAATGAAAATTAGCCCGTGATTTACTCACCCTCAAGGCATCCTAGGTGTATATAACTTTCTTCTTTCAGACGAATCCAATCAGAGTTATATTAAAAATGATCCTGGCTCTTCCAAGCTTTATAATGCCACTGGGTGGGTGTTTTTTTCAATAGTCCAAAAAAAGTCAAATAAAGCGCATCCATCCATAATAAAACGTGCCTCACACGGCTCCGGGGGGTGAATAAAAGCCTCCTGTAGTGAATCGATGCATTTTTGTGAGAACAATATCCATATTTAAAACGTTATAAACACTTTTCTCTCACTTCCACTAAATGTCGTACGCGGAGGCTGTTCCGGGCGGATGACGTAGGACGTAGGCACAGCGCACGTGCCTGTGATTAGTGACGAACACAGAAGTGCGGAAGAGGCATGTTTTATTATGGATGGATGCACTTTATTTTACTTTTTTTGGA